GCTATATAGTGCATCAGAGCTCATAAATCTGCCAATCTATCTCAATGTAATTCCCCAGGGGTTTGACTCACAAAGCTCCTCCTGCCCAATAAACTGCAGCCTCCAGCTGTCACAAGCAGAGCAGTTGATTCATGCACTGATTTCACACCATGTCATCAGTCGGCGACCTGCTTCCCCACATGGCACCAGGTGCAGATTCATGTTCATTATTTAGGGAAAAACATGCTTGTGTTATACCAACAAGGAAGCCCTTTCTTTCATACCCCTTCCCCTAATAAAGCACCGCCTCGAACATAATGTTGAACCCAGCACGCTTAAGTGCAACGGCTCCTCGTTTGGCCTGCCTCTGTTTAGTTCAATTGATCTTTCTCAGTCCACATGGTGTGATATCTTCTCTGTCCCCTTCTTTCTCTTTCTCCATCTCTGCCTCTTTAGCAGACAGCATTCTGGCTCACTCAATCAATCCCGTCATCTCTGATAGGGGCACCCACCCTTAAGAAATATGTGTGTGTGTGTGTGTGTGTGTGTGTGTGCTCTTGAAACGCTGCCGCCAATTATAAATGAATCACTATGCTGAGTCACTCACTCTCCACATCTCTCCCCTTGAGCAGACCATGGTGCTGCTGAACACACACACACACACACACACACACACACACACACACACACACACACTGTATATACACACTATGTTCCTCCTTGAGGCATACTAGCTGAGGAAAAAAACCCAATAACAAGCAGAGAGCTAAGAGCCCGGATCAATTCCCTGCGTATCTCTTAGGATTTGCCTGTGTGTGTGTTTATGTATGTGCCTGTGTGCAGGTGTATATTTTAGAAAAACTAAAAATGCAAGTGAAAGGACAAAGAGAAAGAGGAGAGGCACACAACCTCTGCATTCATGGACCAAATAAAAGTATCATGTATGTCTGCTTTCCTTGTCATGAAGATGAATGCTGTTTGTTCTTAAGCATGAAATCCTTCAATAGATAGTGGCAGAGCTTTGGATCAGAGAAACCTCATATAGGTCATATACATACAGAATTTGACCTCTGCAAATCAGTGGGGTGCCAATGACAGGTACCCAGGGGTTCAGTGTCTTGCTCAGGGACACTTCGACATGTGGCACTTCCCAGTCAAGGATCGAACCGTTGACCCTGCGGTTACCAGACAACCCTCTTAAGCCGGTGAGCCACAGTCGCCCCACACAGCTGAGATAGATATGCTCACAGCTGTAGCCTGCAGCATGCTGAAGCTTCACCGAGACCTCCCACACCTCCGTCACATAGAGAACCAAGCTGGGATCAAAGGTGAATGTTTTATGTTGTTGGTGACGTCCTTGATTTTATAGTCCTTCTATAGTAGGAGACTCTTACATACAGTACATACAATTTTGTAACATCAACTAACAACTAAGGAATAAAACAGTTGTTAACATTTTCAAGAATTGATTTTATGTTGAGAGAAAATGACGTTTAATCATATATTCACTAAATTGGACATCATGCATCACTGGCTATATTTCAACTACACTTAATAGGCTATTACTGCAATTACTGCAACTTTGTTGTACTTGAAAATACATAATCTGCAGAACATTTGTTTGGGCTGTAAATCAATTGATTTGTGTAGAATGCAACTTGCAGGTTTTGTAACAAAACTATATTTTTCTGTAATTATTATTAGTTATTAGGCTCAGAATTCAGGAACCAAGCTAGACATGCAGTGCATTGAACATTGAGCTATTAGCAGAGAAATTGTTAAAACATGAGAACACACCTGTAGCCAGAAATACGACTCTGAATACATGTTAGTGGTGCGCCGTGTCCGTTTTGGATGCGTGTCCCAGGTTGGAAACCACTGCTGTGGCAGTGTACTGTAGCCATGCAGTTTGGGTTGTATGAGCTCAGGTTTTGAGATATCCTCTTCAGAAATTTCTGCTTCCATCTCAACTCAATTTAGTTGAGTAAACTTGTGTTTGTTGATATAAAAAATGAACAGCAACATCCCTTTGCTGATTGAATGTCCCACTTGTTAATGTCTTAATAATCCACAAACCTCACTGTCACTGAAATTACTTTCAACTGAGGAAATCGTCCCAATGAAAATTATTGACAGTATGTTATATGGATTAGAGTAAATTTGAATGCTGGGGCACCACAATCAAAACTCCATCCACCCCCATTGTACTGTCATGGCAGAAGAAAATATAGAGAAGGCTTTCCTAAAACCTGAGCATGACAGAATCAAAACTACCTGCATGGCTACCAGTAGAAATAAGTGAGAAAATGTACCTTTTTCCAATTGTGGGGATCTTTGTCCATTGATGTAGTAAGAACTGGGGTTTGGGTGAATGAGCTTTGTAAAAACGGTGCACTCTGCTCAAACTCAAAGGCCAAATAGAAACATCTTTAAAACTGACCAGTATATATTTCCCTATAGGATACAATCCCTCTCTGCCTTTCCTCAGGGAAGAAGCGCTTGGTTTGTTTATGAGAGAAGAAGCACTGCAGTCACACTACTGTCACAAAGTAGGTCACTTATCCCACGTTTCACTGCATGACCAAAGCAGATGGGTGACAGCGGTAATTGGCATCAGGGACTATAGCACGCTGTGATGGCTCTCTCTCCTGAGATACCGCATCTCTACCTTTCCTCCTGCTGTCTGTTGAGTGTCTGCTAATGCCAAAGTCAAAAAAAGACCCCTCCACCCCACCGCTCCCTGTCAGGAGCTCAAGTACATAAGGTCATGGTGTGTCAGGATTTATCAAAACTTTTTCTTCAGATCCGGAACTAGCTATGCCTTCTTCTTTTTACACTGTTGTTTGTTGAATACAGCATTCATCTCCATCTGCTGTAGTTTTGCTGGGCTATTTCTGGATGCAAGAATTCAACAAACAAAATAAATCTTACTAATTAAATCAATGAATTCACACCAAAAACAGAACAATACCACATTTGTATATATTGTACCACAAAAATGAATTTGATTGATGATACTATTGCAGGAGACCACGATGGAAATAAGTCTTGGACTTTGTTGTGTTATCCCCGACAATTTGTTATACACTTGTATTTTGACTACTGTATTTGGAATTTTATTTTGACAAATAATTTAATTTAATTAACTTAAATAAATGGCTTCATCTGAATACATGATTATAAACAAGACTAAATAGTCTGCAGCAAGGCTAGCAGCTCTGTGAGGCTGTAGCCTACTTAAGCATACAGCTAATCAATGCTTTCAGCCAAATGTAGTTTGCTAACACTCTCATGATGACATGGTAAACATGTTTAGCAGGTATGTTTTCCATGCTCACTACTTTAGCATGTTAACATGGTAAAATTAACACAAAGTGCAGCTGAGGCTGAGAGGAAAGTCATTAATTTAGCTGGTATTTGAAGATAAATAATATCAAAGTTTTGGACAAATTACAATTTTGACTTGATGATGGCACCAGTTGAAAAGTCAGGGGATCAGCAAAGTTACTACAATTCATCATGAGTGGGGCATGAATGTGTGCATCACATTTTTTACGGCAATCCATACAATAGTTGTCGAGGAGTTTCACTCAAAATCACAAATATGAGCAAACCGGTACTCCTAATAAATAAGGTTTTACCTAACTTAACCACCAATGCCTGCAACCTCATCACCACCAATAAGGGTCAACACCCATGAAGCTCAGACAATTAGAGAATAATCATATCATCTGAAGTGTTGGTCAGCTATCAGAACGGATTAAACGGGATATCACAGCGGACATTAATTGCATGTGACTTGTTAATCATCAACTGGAGCCAGTGTCTTCCTTCACTGTCAGCCGGTACAGTGTGTATTTCAGTACCTTAAGTGAAGGTATACTGTACTGTGCCACCTAGTGGTGGCACCAATCTTTTATTATACTTTAAATATACTGAAATAGGCTCAAATTAACAGTGAGGAAAAAAAGAATACCTTAATCATATTTCAAAGCTTTAATTTATTTTTGAACTGTTCATACATTACGGGAGGGGTTCTCAAACCTATTACTCAAAGGTTTTTAACAAAATAACATCATAATGTATTTAATTCATAGTAGAATAGAAATGGGTATTTTTTATTTTTTTATTTTTAGCATTACTACTACTCTTATTGATACTCCTGTTTGGTTCTTTATCGATACTCTTATCTGATCTTTTTTCATAATTGAATAATTGCTTTTTTTAATTTAGACTTATTATTTAAACCATGAATCAATTCAGATCAGGAATTCATCTATATTTTAGATACAACTAAATGTTTTTAGGGCAGCAACAGAAGCCTAAAGTTGACAACCGCAAAGTCACTATAAACTCAATTATATCTCACTGAAGACAAATCTAAAATGTTGTTAAAAACATAATATTCCTGAATGCAGTTTATAAAAAATGTAGAACAAAGACAACAACTTACCAAATTTTAACATACATGTTCAACTAAGATAAACAGTTTGACTACATGCAGACAGCTTTTGTTTCGCTTTTTTTTTTGTAACAATTTTGTTAGAAACTGCAGGCTTTCTGCCCCCCTCTCCACTAGAGGCACTAAGTGGTGTTTCACTACACTGGTACTACCTCCCAACTTATAAACCTTATTCACCTAGATGGAGTTTTTGTTGCCGTTTCTTTTGCGTCTTTTGAATTACTTTCAATGTAATTAGCAATTTATTTCTATTATTAGGTTTATACGTATTTCAGATGATTAACGTATCATCTTTCATCTAATTAGTTTTATAATATGATGAAGTAGTAGTTAAGTTAAGGTAATAATTATATTTATAGACAATATTTATGTTACTTTAATGTTCTTTAATTTGGCATGATTTAAAGGCCTACTTTATGATTTGAGCAAGATGTTGTAATCTCTTTCTTTCTTTGTTTAGAACCGTGGCAATCATCAGCAATCAACTTTAAATAACTTCCTGGTTAAATAATCAGCACAAGTGATTGTAGCCTTGTTTCCTGGTGGTTTGTGGCTCCAGTTAGAACATTAAATCCTCAACAAATTTGCTATTAGCCGAGCTGGCATGCTGTGCTTCAACATCGCGGCTGTGAGACTGCGGACAGAGCAGATTAAAATAACGGGTGTATTGATAAAGTATTGGTTTTTTACTCACAAAGGTTTTATTGCATTACAGTAACTGTTGTTAACTCCAGTAATCTTTAACTATCTGCTGTAAGATGACTTTGCTCAGTGTGTGTTTGTGTGTGTGGAGGAGCGACACAGAGAGCAGATGATCACTGGTCGTGATTATAAATTACACCAAAACATTAAAAAGTACAGATAAAACGTCTGAGATTATCAATATTACATTTTTTAATAATTTGGCACCGGTGCACATTTATGTGGTTTCGGTACCCATCACGAGATGTGAGCTGGGTCCAGATTGACTTGCCTTTGGGTCCAGATGTATTACAGCATTTTAGTAGCATGCACTCTCTCCAAAGGCCCGTGTGAGATTATTCACTCTTTTGCTGTTCTGTCTTTGCATTCTCCCAATAATTCAATTAAATAAATCAAATGCTACTGGTTTCCCCCCCCCCCCGCGTGCCCTCGGAGGTCTGCGAGTGCTACAGTAATAGTCTGTTCCTCGAGAGCCACAGCTGCCGTTCTGCTGAGAGAGCTCATGAAAAATGTGTACAAGTGAACCCTTATGACCATTGAGGTAGCTTCATGAGATCCTGTGTCTCCCACCTGCTTCTTTTTCACGCCTACTCAGCCTTATGCCCCATACTTCACCATGCCCCCCCCCCCCCCACACACACACACACCTACAAGTTTTTCCCTTTCTGTTCAAAAGAAAAGATCTGCCATTCTCCCCATCCACTCATTGCTTGTTAGAGATGACAGAAATAGTAAGCGTGATGATTCACTGCACCCAAGTCTTTTCTGACACCAGGTGCTGTCAACAAGCATTTGTGCCATTGGAAAAATAAAAAGACCCATCATGAATTCACATCGTCTTGAGAGTTCTGTGAAACGCATATATGTCTATTCAGACAAACTCATTTCCTAATGTTTAAGGGGAGCAGCAGTCATTTTATGTAACAGCTGCAGCTCAGATGTCGGTGGATCATTATTAAGAGACGCCAAATCTTGAATCATTAAAGATCTGTACATATAGACTGAGCATAATGCAGTATTTCATGGTAGCTGCACACAGATCTGTATACTTTACAAGAAAGTCAACATTTTGCACACTCTCGCCTGTTTGTAGTGCGTTAGCTAACACTAATACTTTGTATTAGCAATATTGTTTCTTTGCTACAAGAACTTCCTGTGACTCAAATGTGTAGCTGATTGTGGTTAAAACAAAAGCATAGCTCGTTCTGACCAGGCTTAGGTTATTCAGTTCAGTTCAACTGTCAAATATATCAGCTACACTACAGATATAGATCAACATATTCATTTGTTGTTTCCACCTGATGAATGTAACCCCAATGTTCACTCTCTTGAAGCTCAGTTTTTCAGAGGGGAGTTTTTTCAGAGGGGAAAATAAATGCACAACTTTATTCTTTATTTTAAAATTCAGATTTGTGTTCTGCCACATATTTATTAAATAATGCCTCGTTGCAAAACAATTGATCAGGGA